GGTGGTTGCTTTGTATCTCATTTGGATGCCTGTGAGTGCTTTGTTCTTGTCAAGATTGACCCATCTAATGCCTCTCTTCTCTTTCAGTTCATACTTTTTGTAGTCCATAGTCTGCTTAATCTTGTTGAACTTGGTAATCAACCTCTTTGAAATGGGTTTTCCCCTTTCAAAGTTGTAGGTCTTGTCTCCAATTTTGAGTTTCTTGAGTTCCTGTCCATTCCGTTTCAATATCTCACCCTGTTCGGATGATAAAAGGTAATCTAAAACAATCTGCTGTGAAGCGTCCATTATAGTATATTCTATATTATTATTAGTGGATGTTTCTTTAAGTAGTTTTTCAGTTTCCATTGTTTGTTGAGGATGTTGCGGTTGATTGGATTGGTTGCCTGATTGACCTTTAACATAAAATCTCTCTGTTGAATGTTTCAACCTTGTATCCTCTGCCATTTACTCCTTACCCTATAAGGTGGCATTTCTTTAAGTAGTTTTGGGTATTGGTTGCCTGTTGGAATTTCTGGGATTGGGGTTGGACTTCAACATAAAAACCTTCTCAATAAAAATGTTTGTTATTGAGAAAATTTTGGATTGGAAAACCCTTTGAACGAAACGTGCCGTAAGGTGTCTTAAAGCACCTTTCAACATTGGCATCTGTTTCTCATACAAACGTTGGTTTGACGGTGTTTGGATAAATTGGATTTGGACGAAATGGTGCGTCCGCAGTCGGGACACTTGAAGGGTGTTGAGAGTTTCTTTTGATAGTGTTTTGAGAAGTATTCGGGGTCTAATGGTTTGCTGTCATAAGTTCCATCGGGTTTCCATCTTGTAGAGGTTTGGATTGGGGGTTCTTGGACTGTTTCTGGATTGAGTGCTTCAACAAGTTGGTCAAAGATGTCCTCATCCATTTCTTGTTTCTTACCATCAATTACTAAATAGCAGGGCATATCAATTCTTAATTACATAAGGCGACTTGTCTTTAAGTATCTTTGGGGTGTTCTGTGTTCGCAAATGAGGTGTCCCAAAATGATGTGAAAAGAAATTCGAAAAGACCAGTTTAGGACACTTGTTGAATACTGTTCCTGCCGCTGTCAAAGTTGTTAGAATGCCATTGTCGTTGTTGCAGCTTGTTGGGAAACTGCAACTGCATTGTCTTCAGTTGAAGTTAGCAGTATGGCGAAGCCTCATTACCCAAAAAACATGCTCATCTGCCATCAACTCCCGCAGGGCGGATGGTTTGTCTCTCTTCGTTTCCACGAAAAACAACTTGAACTATTTCATCACATATGCCTATATATATATACACATAATAAACATTAACCCTGCCACACCGTCCCAACCCGTTGGATGCTCCAGACCACTCCGACGAAACTTGATTTCCCTGAAGAAACAAGATGAACAAATCGGGAGGATTAAAGGGTCTGTGGGTTTGCGCGGGTGTGTGGTGCATATGAACCAATACATGCTCAAGGGGTATGGACAGAATGCTCCCCCAAAAGATTGCTAAATTAATCATCACCAACGTCAAGTTTTGGAGACTGCTTGGAAATGTCATTCCAGCAAATCTTTGTTTGGATTTTCACCGAAACAATCAGGTTTTGAAGGCTGTTTGAATAGTTCGCTGCTTCAAGGCTTTGATAGAACCCGTTTCCAAAATCTTGCATTATGACAAATGCTGGGATTGACCTTCTAATAGATGGTGTCCCTGATGTCTTCACAACCTTGGCGCGGACGCATTCGGCAAGTGGAAGAGGGCAATTGGATGCAATTGGATACAGTAAAGCAGTGAAAAGTGGTTGATATCATCACCAAACTTCTGGGCCTGAAGAATGCTACATTTGAGAGTGCCAATCCAACAACTGCGAAACAAACCAATCTTCAATCTCTGCCATTTCATTTCACTTTTGCTCATCCAGTCTTGGAACACTGTGCAGTCTGTCCCACCGGTGCATTGTGCAGCGCAGATAGAATGCATCCCGGATTGAAGGGTAGGTGCAACCCCAATAAAAATCATCACCTTTCTGTGTTTTGCCAGTCTGGTTGGACGCAATGCGGATTGCACCATCCATGAATCACGAATGGCACCTTCAGTGCATAACGGATTGCACCCGACCTGCAATCCAAAAGTCCTACTGGTCCTACAAGGAACAAAGCACTCTCATTCACACGCCACTGCCACTTCCGCCTTCAGACCTTCTTCAAAAGGTCATGCACTGTGCGGGACACTGCGCAGTAGCGTTGCCCCTCTGCCCGCGCATCCACATAGATGCAATGAGCGCTTCGGTTCCGCACCGCTGCGGCCATGTGCGCAGGCGTGAAGTGCTTCATGAACCGCTTGGCATCGACACACTGCTCGAAGGAGCTATGCGCCACGGCCTTGGCCAAGGTGCGTGCCCTCCTCGCCTCTTTGGGGCCAAAGCCACCTTGGTTGTCAATGCCCAAGAACTTCTCGACCTGATATTCTTGCACCACAAGCCGTTCGGACTTTGCTTCTTCCCATGATGTCTCTTTGGCCTTTTGCGCCACGTCCTGCAGGAGATGTGGGCAAGTTTCAAGGTTTCAACGTTCGTTGATGTTTCGGGTTGTTGTCCCCGAAAAGGCGAGGATGGCACGCACCGCCAAGGTGCGTGCCATCCTCGCCTTTTCGGGGCCAAAGCCACCTTGGTTGTCAATGCCCAAGAACTTCTCGACCTGATATTCTTGCACCACAAGCCGTTTGGACTTTGCTTCTTCCCATGATGTCTCTTTGGCCTTTTCCGCCACGTCCTGCAGGAGATGTGGGCAAGTTTCAAGGTTTCAACGTTCGTTGATGTTTCGGGTTGTTGTCCCATGGTTTCATGACCCTTGTCCTCCATTACACCGATGTTGCCACCTGTGAGTTGAATCATGTCGCTCTTGTGCGTGGAGGCCTCTTCACCGCCATGATGACGTAGGAATTCCTCAACCTGACAAGGAGACGTCCATCTGCAAACATCCCAACCCATGCCAGAAGTAGCACCAACAAAAAGCACTAAAGTGATTGAAGGTGACTGAACAATTACCACATGAACTGAAGCTCTTCATTATGGCCTCCTTCTGCGAGAGCTCTTCACTCGTCAGTGGTGGAACGAAGAATCGGCGCTCACGACCGTCTGCGTCAAAAGCCATGGCTGACACTGCAGAACTGACCATCACCAGCACTTTGGCGACCGTGTCATCAAAGCCCCATGACTTTGCAAAGGCGGAGACGCTGCTCATCACATCTGGATTAAAGACACCACGAGGAACTTCAAGGATGATGATGGGTTGCCGTCCCATTTCTTGTTTGGCATCTCTCAAGCCACGCATCATCTCCTCTTCATGGAGCACTGCCAACCTGCTCCTCAATGCGTCCTTGGCCAAGTCGTTGTTCTGCATGAGCTTGATGTGGAGCACTCCATTGTTCCACTGCTTCTCCTGCAACACTTCCCAAAGGATGGTGCTCTTGCCAACTTCATGGTTCCCCCAGATGAGGATTGGGCGGGGGTCGTCCAAGTCCAACAACTGGTGCATTTCGTCCTGCCACAGTGCATAGTGAGCATAGTGCATCAAATTCAAAATGTCAGTATGACATGAAATAACACCTATCTCAAGAACAAATCCCTTCTGTCAAGAAACGCAGGGACAAACACAACAAAAAAAAAAGGTGGTGCTTGGACGCCTTGATTATCTTCCGTTCAATCTTGACACGTGGCTCGCGTGCTTTGAAAGAGGCATTCACAATGATATTTTTCACTCGCTCTTGTTCTTGACGATGCCGCCTTGTATATCCCATCCAAAGGTCACGATGGCCAACGAGCCACCACCACCAACCAACCACTTTCCAATCTGCTGTTTCGTGGTCGGCTCCTTCTCTGGAGCGTTGTTTGAGAAGCAACGGTGGTTTCGTCGGCCTGACATGAGAAGCCGAAAACCACAACATCGGGCAATGAGGCAACGCGACATACCCATGGCGGAAATCTCCAGAACTGGGACTGTGCTGGAGCTCAAGCACTTTACGATTTCTTGATGCGTTGACTTGTTCATAGTGCAACACATGCCGCAAGTAGAACTCATCTTATCTTGTGAGCATTTGTGAGCCTGTCTGCTGCGGGAGAAAGCAATCAACATCTCTGGGTGTAGTGTAATGCCACAATGTGTACATAGAGTGTACATAGTGCCTCAAGAAACGCAATATGTCCTCAAAAGTGATGCTTCCATGCAAACGAAACAGCGCGCACATCTCATCTGGGCGCCCCCGACGAAATCCAGAAAGTCCATGAAGAAGTCCGCAAAAAATGAGGCGAAGCGAAAGACGTTCAAATCAAAACACAACCAAGAAAAAACGCCACCAAAAAAGACGAGAATGAGAGAATAAAAAATGAAAGATGTTGAAAGACATGGAACCTTTTGAAAGATATCAAGTTGAATGTTCTGTCTTGAAACTGATGATAAGGAAACACAATAAAATCATACCCAAAAAAAGACAAGACATACCTTGACAATAAAAAACGACAACCACAAGTACACTATCCACAGTATCTCCCTCATCTGAACCAAAACACAAACCCCAACAGCCTAAACAAATCCTACCCTCATCTGAACCAAACATTGACACATCACTTTAGCATCAAAATGACCCCCAAAACCCCACCTGAAAAATCATCAAAACCAAGGATGAAACATTGAACCCCAACACAAAATCATAACAAGCAACATACCAACATACACGCCCTGAAACCCCCATTTTACCATTTTTTTCCCATCAATCTTCAAAAAAAAACATATTTCTCATCGTGCATCCCATCAATTCTCCCATGATTCTCAGCCTTTCGTCGTTCAAATCGCACTTGCGAGAACCCACTCAAATTGCAGGATTTCCTTAGAATCCCATTGAATCCCTAGAGTTGATTGTTAAATCAACATGTTAACATGTTCTATTGTATAATACCTATCAAGTTGGTTACGTAATTCATCCCATACCCCAAGCTCTTCAACAAGCCACACGCCTGTCTGCTCTGCTCAGCGCCAGTGGTGCTGAGAAAACACCCATCCCAGGTGTAACGAGGCCATGACAGAGACCCACCTAGTGATGCTCGGAATTTTTCGGGACTGAGAAAATGGTGCTTTCATGAATTTAACCATCAACTACTGCAGGATTTCTTGGGAGAATGAGGAAATCCTGAATTTTCTCACCCACCATGGAAAAAAATGTGTTTTTGGAGCATGTTTATAAGGAAATCATGGGATTTTAACGGGATTTTAAGGAGAAAAGGGTGAGAATCATTGGAGAATTGATGGTATATATTAAATTAACCAAGATGTTTGGGATATTAATGGGGATCTAATGGCATATCATGCGATATCATGGAATATAATGGGACAACATACCAGCTACATAATTATCACGGGATCACAATGGAATCATGCATGATATATATATATGTAGTTATTAACGGGGTTGCTAACGGGATAAAATCATGGCTTATTAGTTTTACAAACATATATATATATATACAGTATATGGATGTGGCTGAAAGTGATGTATTTTCTCCAATTTACTGCCATGACTTTCTGGGGTGATGATCAACCAGTGGATTTGAGGTACCATGTTTTCAAACACACCGTCGAAGCAAGTGGTGAAAAAGGCTTAGCTATGCAACTACAACTGTTGAAGCTTTAACTAACCCCATCTATTTAAGGGTTGCTAAAATAGAACCAAACCATAAAGCCCAAATAGTTGGGGTTTGTCGAAAAAGATCGAAATGGTGGCAATGGTAAAATGGGATATGGGACAAGAATAGCGGGGACAATCTGTCGTGGGTGTATCACCAACAAATGGGATAGAAGCAACATCACCAACCAAGAATTTGCGTGGGTGTATCTGAAAATGGGGTACACCGGTATACCACCACAATGGCAAAATGGGAAAATGAGGATGAACCTTCAGATCTAGGGGTCTTCCAGTTTCAGCCACATGTTGTCAAAACAACCAGTTGAGCCACCTGGAAAACACGACACTGAGCCATCAACTGGCGTGCCAAGTGAACTGTAGATATGGAAATCTCTCCCATAAAACCCATCCGGTCGCCTAGCTATGTGGCTCGCAACTTACTCAGTTATTTTGGGCACTGCCAGCTGAGGATTCCAACATATTGTTTCACCAGCGTCTTGTTCAGGATTTGCTGGCCTTTGGTGTTTCCAAAGTGTCGTTAAAGTTGCCAGTGCCAACTAAACCAGACATCAGGCTGCGACAGATGTGTTTGGAGGCAATCTTGCTGGTGGCCACCAACTCAGGGCAGTGGCCGAATGCACAACGGCAGAACTGCAGGGAACTGGCAAAAAATCAAGAAATTGGGATGATTTGTATAGGGGATCATCTGCAGTCGGAAACCATGGTTTTTCCCATCAATTTTTGTATGCGTCCTGCAAGGTTTCCCTTAAACCAATCCAAAGTTTCAGGAAATTGCAATGGAGAACACACCAAATTGGCTCCCGAGTGACTGTACATAACACAAGTCAACTTTTACTTGCAACTCTCGGACTTCGAATCCAACTCTGAAGAGATCCCCAGAATTGGCTGTTGGCTGAGTCTCCTACCACAATCCCAGAAGTTCCTTTATCCAATCGATGACAAGGTGCTGCTGTAGGAGCCTCGACTCCAGGGCCAGGTTGAAAGAAAACATTTTGGAGGATCTAAATATCTTAAAATACTCAATTCTATTTTGGATCTCCAATATCTCGCACATATTTGTTGTTTGGTATTTTTACTGCACCCAACTTCGACAAAGAAAGCGAGTTCCCCACATTGTAGTAGCACCACACGTGCCGAATGAGATTGCCTTCAAGGCCTGTCAACAGGCTGCATCGAAGGCGTTTACAGAATGAAAATGTTAAATTACTGTCATGAGATATTTGGGTATGGATCAATACCTATTAATACCATTTTTAATGGGATGAACATCCATTTGCCAGCTATTTTGATGTTCACCAGGGGTACAAGGTTTTGACACACTGCCACTTGGGCAATCCATTGTATGTCCATTGTATCCCCAGGCTTTTTTCTTGGAACAATAAATCTGTGGGATTTACTCATGTTTTTTTTTCACCAACTTGTGGAAAATGGTGGACTTGACCCAAAAAAGGACTGGATTCTGGGGTGCCCTATTTCAGGCAGCCAGCCACATGAGAAAATTGATGGAAACTATGGGTTTCAGCATCCCTTGATACACTGGTTTCATGCAAAGCTTTTGAAGCATGGTACCCCACCTTCCCATTGAGGAGTGGAGCAGGTAGCCCACCCAGATGGCTTAAACATCGCCATGATGTCAGTGTCCTTTCTTCGGTCCACCAAAACCTTGCCGAGCCGTAGCTGCCGTAGCTGAGTTTGTCCGAAGAATGGGCTACCCCCTCATTCCAATCGTGTCAACTTCAACTTGCCCATTTGTGGGGTATACCCCATCGAGAAAACCCATATGGCAGTGTGTCAAAACCATGTACCCCTGGTGAACATCAAAATAGCTGGTAAATGGATGTTTATCCCATTAAAAATGGTATTAATAGGTATTGATCCATACCCATATGGTTTCAGAAGGATTGAAAGTAATACCCTGGGAACGAAGAACACTCTTCTGGCCTGCGGTCGTGAGCCAGGAATGGGGGAGCCTTAGAGGACTGGATGCCTTTCCACTTGCCACAAAAAAATGGTAATATGTTCCCGAAACATCCAAAACCCAATATGGGTTGGTGGCCAAAATCGCCTCCTGAAAATGGGGTGTCGATTTTGGAACCTACCCATTTTCTTCTTCCTGTGCTGTGCTGTAGTCCCTTCGTATCTAGGACCAGGACCACGGAAGACATCATGCCCAACAAAGGCCTTGGAGTGCCTTGCAGTACAGTGCACCCATCAGTGATCTTTAAGGGTAATCCCTGGCTCCAATCCCTCAAGATCTACAGCCAGCTGACCCATCTGACCCAATAGTGCGTTTCAGCGTGTTTCAGCCAAATTCAGAATCCGTGCATCTCGGAAGTCTGAGCAGTGGCTTGTCGAAATTCGCATAATACAAAGGACTGAAACCCCTCTGAAACCGAACCTTGGCCCCAAACAAGCAAACAAAAAGGGACATAGGCACTGCTGTATCCACGTGCACACTTGCCAACACAAGAACATCTTCGTCACCTGCATGTGGCACAGCCAAATCAACACGACGCCTGCTGTCCATCAACGGGCGGACCAAGTAATCCCATAGCTCCGAGCTGAATCCCGCCACACCCTGAAGTAGTGGCCTCGTTTCTCCGCGCCAAGAGCGACTTGATGATGTTGGAAGAATGCCGATGTTTTTTGATGAGATGGGTTTATCTGAGAATTAGCTCTAGGTTCACTGATAAATCATCATTTTCCTAAAGCCATGTGAGGTTATATCTCATTTTCAGACACACCACGGGATAGGACCTCAGGATTAAATCATTCAGCATTAGAAAAAAAACGCAGTGATATGGTGGTTTCCATAAAATGGTGGTACCCCAAAATGGATGGTTTATAATGGAAAATCCCACCAAAATGGATGATTTGAGGGTACCCCCATTTTAGGAAACCTCCATATCCCTCACTTTGTCCAAGGCGTTGACACCTGTAGAGTTGGCTCGTCCCGTTGCTCCTGCACAGTTTGCTCTATGGATATGGTGGATATGGGCATGGGGCTTTCCTAAGCCATGGATCCCCAATAGCTGGATGGTTTATAATGAATAAAATTCTATTAAAATTGATGATTTAGGGGTACCCCCATGACTCCCATGACTTAGGAAACCTCCATATCCCTGTTCTCAATGGTCAAACTAGTGCAAGAGTTTGACGCTCCTGCGACTCGCTTGAGCTATCCACACTGCCAGTCCCGGTGCTCAATGTGCCCTCAGCCTTGAGACCAGTTGGTAGATGGTAAAGATCCCATTGTGATCCCATTATGATCATATGAAATTAACTGTGTTTCATAGGAATCCAAATAGGAATCCCAACTGGTGCAGGATGGTTTGTCCATCCACAGTATCATGATGTATCTACAGCTTGCTTGGGAAAAACAGGACGCTTCGCAAACGAAGCAAACACACGCGAGCCATTCTTCTCATGGTATGTTGCCGGCTAAGCTGAGGCTAGCACCGCACTTGGCTTGGAGGGCCCACTCCTGCCATCATTTTCACTCCCGGAAAGCCACACCCCTAAATTTTGAGATGGAACCCAAGACAAGTGCGGTGTTCAAGCCAGCAAATGTCCTGGCCTGTGTTTTGGTTTCCCAGTCTGCAGGGTTTCAAATTGGGAATGGAGCACGACATTCATGATCGTTGACTAACGAAAAAGTCCGCGGGCAAATGTGCAAAGGTATTGCGGTATCCAGTGACAACTCACCCGAGAACTGGGCTTAATCATCCTAGTCATGGGCCGTTGGGAAGAGATGGAAAAAATGGTTCCAAGCAACCAATCAATGTTCTGGACACTTCATATGTTCCAAGAATATCCCCAAATATCCCCATGCTTCGGTCAGGGTTTCCCATCACAAAAACAACAAAAACCTATGACTTTTGGGTGGTTTGGGCGGAAATCGCAAGCCTCAAAAGCTCCAAGAGTGAACGTCCAACGTCCAATTTCTCCATGGATTCGGCGGGCAGCCTGGACCCGTCACCAACTCAGAATGCTATAGATGCAGTATAGGTATTGAATGGTATTCATCCATAGCCATATGTTGTGTATATATATATATATACAAGGTCACCTTTTTTCTATTTCATTGACTGTTTCATTGCAAGGTCAACCATCTGATATCTGCTATCTGCCAAAAAACAACATATATGATCTATAACTCCATACCCATCATATCTGCCACTTTTGCCAACACAACTCACCATGGCATTCCCGTTGAAGGTCGCCTGTCACTCTCATCACTGGCAGAGTTCTCGGGCTCTTCGTGGGTGTCTTCAGGCAGATTGGTCTCCGACTCGGTCCCAGTTCCTGTGGATCTGATTCCAACTGGGATACCCCCCAGCCCTGGCTATTTCATGAGATAAGATGAGGAATATAAGTATATATGTATAATATATATATATGTATTATGTATAATATATATATATGATATATGAATACATGAGAAAAAAAGATGATTCATCATCATTCAGGGGATACAGTACAGTAAGTGATTCTCCTACAACCCCGGGCACAGCCCTATGCGAAGCTGAGCTGGCCTGGTTCTGCAGTCTCGTCACGGCCAGGGCCGCCGTGGCCTTGGCCCTGGGCGACTTGTTTGAACCACTGTGCCTCGAGCTCTTCAGCATACCTGCCTGCAGTGTGCCAAATCACAGCAGACACATAGGACACATAGGACACATAGGACACATAGGATACATAGGATACATAGGATACATAGGACACGACCACGTCTGCCAGTGAGCTACCACCTTGCTGGCCGATCTACGCATGTGAGGCTTGTACCGGCTGCCACTGGCTTTGCTTTGGAGAGATGCACAGATTCATTCCTCAGCCGTACGGCTGTGGTGAGCCACTGCCAGCTTCCCCAGATCCTCCGAGCCCATGGCGTCTCAGCAGGGAACAGGATCTGGCCGATGCCACTGCTGCAACAACTTGAAATGGCCTTGCACGTTTTGCCTGGGACCAGAAGACGAGTCACAGGGTGTGACCGACGCGCCAAGCCGCCAAGCCATTGTTAGTGCTGTTATGGGGGACGTACCAGGGGCTACCAGTACCCGGTTTTGGATGGTCAAATCGGTCAAATTCGGTCAAATTTATGATTTCTGATTTCCTGATATGGGGGTTTCCTGAAATGCAGGATCCCCAACCATGTGACACCATGGCCCTCAATACTAAAATATACTAAAATAGTCTCATGACTTGGATAATTTGGGGTACCTCGCATGACTTAGGAAACCTCTATATCATTTTTTCCAATTCGGCAACACATTCTGCTCCAAAAAAAACGCTCATATGTTCTCCGTGATCCGAAAACCCGGATCCGCGTCGTGCCTGCTTGCTCCAAGGCATCAAGGCAACGCGACCTCCAACGCTTCTGAATTTGATATTCCCAATGGGGAATGCCAAGTGCTATGCTGTCAATGGCCAAGCCAAAACAGCCAAAACATACATACTCTCGAATGTTTCAAACAGAAAGAAGTATGAAGATGTATGAAGGCTTTACTCGGAAACCACCGCCATTTTGATCATTTTGCATCTGCAAACCGCAGTTGCTCAACATTTATATACGTTTCCTCCAGTTTCCTTTTCGGGGCCTCTCCATGTCCCAACCGAACCACACTCGGTTTACTCGAAGATTTAGAGCCGAAACTCACCCAATGTAGACCATAAAGACAGAGTGTTGCACAAATCTCGCTAGCATCGATCTCCGTCGCAGAGAGGTTGCAACGGTTGCACTGTGTTTTTTTCTCCGCAGTTGCCATGCACTTCAGCTGCAGCAAACCCCATCCACCAGGGAGCTGACAAATGCTGATAGCGGAAGTCTTGCAGCAATTGCTAGTACTGGGCCATCATCAACGTCAGTTCCCAGGTGTCTATCAGCTACAAACCCTATGGTCAACTTGCATGTCTTTGATGCTCATTGGACTCATTGGTTGATCCCCACCACATACTCAGGGTAAACTGCAGCACCATCAAATACAACAAACTCACGGTGGACCTGCTTCCCACTTGGACTGGGATGATTTTGCACAGGACCAGGGTTGACAATCACGGAATGGTGTCCATCTACATCTGGCGTCCTCAACAACCGGCAACCACCACGACTCACATTCATGTCTGAAGGCCATCTTCAAGTCGACCAAAGATAGCCACTAGTTTCTGACACCGAAAGTCAAATGTCTGGTGCAAGACAAGTGTATTTCCTTTTATTCCAGTCTAGTCTTTTGAAGAAAATGTTGACTTCTGGCCCAGTCACTCCAGCAAGCCTTGCCGGTTCTTCAGCTCTTTCAAACTCCTCATGGATGGCAAGGTGTTTTTGCTGTAGTACGGCCTTCCCAAGACCACTCGGCAGAACAACAAGTACTGCGCCCCCGAATCGGAGTATTGCAAGGCCTTGCAGGCCTCGTCGGAAAAATAGATCCCTGCACCATACAAACCTTCGAGGCGACTCAAATGTTCATCCAAGCCTTCCTGGAGCAGAGCTGTAGGCCGTTAACTACAACGGATATCAACGGATCATCCCATAATCAAGGAGAAAATCCACAGACCTTCATACATCACCGCCAAAAACGTGAAACATATCTATAACAACAGTTTTTCATCAACCTAGTTAAAACCTCCACCCAGCCACTTTCAATATCGAATCGATGTTGCTATATCGCGTCCCATGCCACAGCCAGTACTCGTTTCTGGTCCAGTCGATTACCGGACAGCTCGGACGGACAGGAGGACTGATGGGCGCAAACCTTGGGTGGCGCGGATCCAATTTTTGCTTTTGAATCTGGGATAATAGTTAACAGTGGTTAATAATGGTTAATGATTAGTAATGGTTAGGAATGTCAATGCGGCCCCCTCTTTCCAACAATGTTGATTCATTCCGTATCCTCCATGGGTACTTCCATTCCTCTCATGGTAAAAGACATAATCTTTCTGGTCATTTTGCAGCTAGTTTGGAAATTCCCAAACTGAATGGAGGTTTCTAGCTGGGAAAGTCATCGAATGGTGGAAAATCCATTGCCAGGTTTGACTACCAGAGGTAAAGTTGAGACTCCTAACGTCTCATAGCACTATCCAAAATGGTAGATTTGAAAAGAAATGGGTTTGATTTTCCCTGGGAATTCCCGACATGGTGGATCTTCAAAGAGGAAAACCCTTTTGAAAGTGGCGGATTCACCGGGAAATCAAATCAATGTCCACAAATCAGCTTCAGCAAATCCTGGAAACATGGCCCCATGCACTTGCTCTTTGGCAAGGCAATAGCGCTTCCACAGCTGTGGATTCTCAAGTCGCTTGACAAAGGAGATTCTGGGTGAGGACTGTCCGAAGAACTCTGTCAAACCTCGGGTGATTTATTGGTTCCCCCGGCGGAAAAAGGGAAAATCATAAAACCGATCAATATGGCATAGTTTTAATTAACGGCTAAAGTCTAAAAGTCCATGTTTATTTGGAGGACAACAATTTTGCTTGGAAGCCTTTAACAAAGACTTAAGGCATTAAACAGGTCCCCGAGCCACATTTCTCATGTACGGTTTCCATGAGTGCCGCCTGCAGCTGACGGAAGGTCGTTCGTCCATTCTGCCACTCGGCCGTCTCCTCCCTACCGACCTCACAGGTCAGGTCCGCCAGGTGGCTTCCGCTGGCTCCGGCGGCTCCGGTGGCTCCGGCATTTCTCCAGTAGACCGGCACTGACTCTGACATCTCGGCCTTCATGGCAGCGGTCATCTGCTCTAGAACCTCAACGGCAGTGGGCCGATCCTCCTGAGCTCCCGGCGATACAAGGGAAAAACATTGGCTGACTATAGCGGTAAAACACACCAGTTGTCTCCCCTTCTGGCAATGACTCATCTCTAGAAAGGATTGGAGTAACCCTGTCCTTGCGGTGACTTTGCATCTTTTTCACCAGCTTGGCAATTGCCTTATGTTGCTCACCATTTTGTGGCCACTTCTGCCCGCTCAGCAAATGGTCACAGATGCAACCCAAGGAGTAGATGTCTGATGCAGGCGTCAGATGTGGAAACTCTGGAGGCATGAAACCCTGTGTGGCTCCCACCACCATAGTTGTTCTGCGTGAGTTCAGTGACTGTGCGTCCAAACACTGGCTGGTTTCGAAATCTGTCAAACATGGCCGATCTTCAGAATCCATGAGAAAGTTTGAAGGCTTCAAATCACCATGCATCACATTCTGACTGTGGACGTATGCCACAACCAGCACCAAGTCTCGCAGGACTTGCCGCATCTTTGGCAGAGTGCACTGTTCAGAAGTACACCACTCCTCCAAATTGCACGAATATCGCGGCATGTGAACATACCTGGTGGGTTGCGAGCTACCCAGGCTTTCAAAGAACCTGAAGGCCAATTGGATCACCAATCAACACAAAATACATGAAAAAACTGAAAGCATCAACCAGACACGCAATGGATCTACCTTTGTCCTCCTCCTCGAAAGCTGCCAAGACTGGAACGATCAAGGGATGTTTCAGCTTCTTCCGATGTAGGACCTCTCTCCTCAAGGCTCCAGATTGAGTCATGGAGCGAAGTTCCTTCAGCACGCAAGGCGTATCGTTGTAGATGGCTGTGAAGATAGTATTTTGACTCCCTGCAACTGGCATCAGCTGCTCATAGTCAGCACAGCGTCTCCCTGGAGTCAAGACATCTACAGCATCTAGGTGCTCATCGTCCACGTTGACGCTCAACTCTGGAAGGCCCCAGGCTGCTTGTTTGATCCGCACGAAGTCGATGAGTCTTCGATGGAAAGTTTGTTCTGCTTGCTGGACCACTCTCCTGCTAGCAGCTACTGCAGTTTGGGCTTCCTGCACTGCGGCAGATGCAGCTTGTGTTGCCTCCGCATCGTTACCACGGCGCTGTTCCGTCCTGTATTCCCTTTCCAAGCGCCTTTCCTTCTCAAGATTGTCCGCATGCAAATCTCGGGCGTTGATGCATTCATCTTCCAGCCTGAGTAGCTCTCGCTGATCTGGAGGATCTGATAGAAGTTTCTCATGTTTTTCCGCCAGACGAAGATGCTCAGCCAAGGTCCCCAAATCTGCCTGAGCTGCGCCAATCATCTGCCGCAACAAGGCTGTGGCGGAAGTGCAGCAGTCCGTCACAGCGTCGCAAAAGTCCTGGCGCCTTGCTGAAGCCTTTTGTTGGAAGTCTTCCTGCCATGGACAAAAAGGTCAGTTTTTCATCCTGGCCGTGAACTTTTGATAACTGTTCCCAAAAAAAACATTAGCCCATTTTGTAGCTGAATCTATGTAAAGGATTAACCCATATACTGTGAATCAGTCAGAATCAATCTATATTATACATATTATATATATATATTATCATCCAATGATAAAGGTGGCTCACAGAGTCATCATGGCTGAGGTCTGATTCCTCCTGCGCGATGGTTTTGGCAAAGTGAAGCATAGCATTCGGAGAAGTTTCTGGTGGAAGTGACACGGATGTGGCCTGCAATCAGCAGACCACTGAGTGCAGAAACCCTGAAAACCACAAACTTCACAAATCCACACCTCAGCGCATTCTGCTGCTGTGATGTCCCAAACAAATCATTGAAGAAAAAAAACGCGTTGAGCCGTTTCCGATCGAGGATTCCGACATGGACAACAAGCGGCGGCCTCCAGTGCTCGAGAAATCATCTGCAAGGATTCGACCGCAGAGGTCTTGGCTTTCTCGGTTGCAGTGGAAAGACCTCATTGCGTGTCACATGAGAACACCAAGAGGGCTGGTTATCTGCAACAGCCCCATTGGCCCAAGCCGAAAGTGACAGGGCTGTGGCAATTTCACTCACACAGATTGCACCAATCTGGAGCGGTAAAACTTGTTTACATGTTTTTTGCTCCGCATCGCCAAATCCAAATTGATGAAAACTATCCAACACAAAAAATGAATAGCCAGAAACAGAAGAATCCCGGCTGAAGAGAGATGACTAGCAGGATCTTCTTTCAATTCTTCGCAGTGTCCGGACTTGTGCTCTTCATGTACAACGCTTTGGTTTTTTGCAGAGGCTGCAGACCGCTCTCGAGGTTCATGTGATTTTCAAATTCAAGCAATGTCCGGTGTCGCTATAAGGGTCTTGGGCTGGTTGAGGCGGAACAAGATGCAGTGACCCACACATGTTCATAGAAGCAAAGCAAAGGTATACAGTATACATCATGTGTACATATTGTTGTATTCGGAAACTAATGAGAACGGATTCAGAAATTCATTATTTTGTGTCTGTGCATACTATACAAGGTAAGCATGATATCGTCACATGTGTTTTTGCATAAATGCGTGTACATACCCATGTGCAACTTTTGATGGATACACATGACCCAATCCACCTTTGGCATACACTTTTCTGCTTGTCCATATACCCACATGTGCCATGGTCAAAGAACCCTTATCATGCGATACAAATCCCTATTGGATCCTGTGAAATGTGGATTGATGACCATCCTCTTCTATGGGAATATGAACCATGTTTTGACATGTTTTGACCATGGCACACATGAGAGGGTGCTTGGGCAACTTGTGTTTGCCCCATACGCTTATCGTAAAGGAAAACACCACCTTGTACATCCTTATACTTATACCTTTTTATCTTAAGGAAAAACACATGTATCGTAGTTGAATAAGGTCCCATTACATGAGCCTTGCCAAGCCACTAAGCCCGTCCACTTCTTCAAGCCTCAAGTTTCGCAGCTGCGCTTGGCACGCGGCCAACTTCTTACACAGGAGAGATGCGCGATCTTCGCCGTCGCTTGTCCCCTGCATTGCCGCGGATGGTTGAGCCATCGTTCCAGCAGCGCTATTCATACTCATAAAAGTGAATAGGGAAAAAGTGGGGCTAATTGATATGTTTCTTGTTCTTACATCATCCTGCATCCCATAAAGGATTGATTTAGAAATTAAAGAAAAACTTATTATATCCCCATATCAAAACTTCCCAAAACACATTAGTATATACCTTCCCGACATAAAAGAAAGAAACATCCCCTCATATCATATTCCCATCAGCTGATCCCAGCTGATTGCCCACCTGTTTCACATCGGAAAGACCTCGATTGCGGTCGAAAAAGGTCTGGCGGAGTCGCTATGACCAAGAAAAGGGGAATGTGATAGAAATCAATATGGGCTATTCTGACATGTATTCACTATATTCTGTATGTGCATATTAATAATATATATATATATGTGAGATGTGTATATATATATATATATGTGTGTGTCAAATTCATTCAAATTCTATCACATATAATCAAATACCCACTGTTGATAGGCAAGGATCGAATTTTAAGACCCCTAATGCCCTAATTGTAGGGGGGGCTACAATGATTCCAACCCTGGACCAGGTTTTTTTGCTGGCTATTTTAATGAGGGAAGGGATTGCTTCGTGGTTTCAATCTGATTGATCTCATCCCAGTAGTCTTTCACGGTCCATTGAAGGACATCAATTATTTGAGAGGAAACCTCACAGGAGGCATGGTACTTAAACACCAAATGACCAATTCCCGAATCATCCTGTATACCACTAAATTAAATCGGTCATGGCACAATCAAACAGCGATGGAGCAGCTGATGCCGCACCACCAAACAGCGATGGAGCTCCTGATGTCGCACCACCAAACAGCGATGGAGCTCCTGATGTCGCACGACCAAACAGCGATGGAGGTGGAAGGGCACCAACAAACGGCGATGGAGCTCCTGATGTCGCACCACCAAACAGCGATGGAGCTCCTGATGTCGCACCACCAAACAGCGATGGAGCTCCTGATGTCGCACCACCAAACAGCGATGGAGCTCCTGATGTCGCACCACCAAACAGCGATGGAGCAGCTGATGTCGCACCACCAAACAGCGATGGAGCTCCTGATGTCGCACCACCAAACAGCGATGGAGCTCCTGATGTCGCACCACCAAACAGCGATGGAGCTGGAAGGGCACCACCAAACGGCGATGGAGCTCCTGATGTCGCACCACCAAACAGCGATGCAGCTCCTGATGCCGCACCGCCAAACAGCGATGGAGCAGCTGATGTCGCACCACCAAACAGCGATGGAGGTGGAAGGGCACCAACAAACGGCGATGGAGCTCCTGATGTCGCACCACCAAACAGCGATGGAGCTCCTGATCCTGCACCGCCAAACAGCGATGGAGCAGCTGATGTCGCACCACCAAACAGCGATGGTGGAAGGGCACCAACAAACAGCGATGGAGCTCCTGATGTCGCACCACCAAACAGCGATGGAGCAGCTGATGTCGCACCACCAAACAGCGATGGAGCAGCTGATGTCCCACCACCAAACAGCGATGGAGCTCCTGATGTCGCACCACCAAACAGCGATGGAGCAGCTGATGTCGCACCACCAAACAGCAATGGAGCAGCTGATGTCGCACCACCAAAGAGTGGCAATGTGGTTGAAGGTCCAAAAAGGGCAGCTTGCCCAGATTCTCTGTCAATCCTAATAGTGGAGTGATCTGAAGATCTATTGACATCTGCTTCCCTCAATACTTCCTTTCCAGCTTGGGCTCTGATGATTGGCGGCAAGGACTTTAAGTCTGGCACGGCTTCAGTCAAGAGACAACCGTTGGAACCGTTGGACGAACGATCTTCGAAGGCCTTCATTGCAGCCGTGGCGGCGTTCACAAATCCTTCGATTTCTGATCTTTTGTGGGTACTTTGCCTCAACTTTGAGCAGAGGCTCTTTCTGGCATTGTCTCTATCTGTCACCTGACTGTTTTTTTTCGTATCACTGTCTCCACTTTGGTGAACAGACTCTCGCAAGAAGCGCTGGGTCTCATCAAACTTTGCCATTTCCTTGGCAGTGGTTGCTCAACAATCATCTGACAATCTCCTGATGGACTGCAAAGTCTCTATATGTCTCTATGGTCATCCCCAAATAGATGGAAAAGCAATGAAAAGCAAATCCCTCATCTGATAATGATTTACTTTTCCAATTTTCCAATACGTTTCCATCATTTTCCACCTATTTTGAGATGAGTTTTAAGGTCTCACTGCGCTCCACTGAGCTCCACGCATCTGCGATCTCCATAAATTCTGCTCGAAGCAGGACCTATCAGGATCCGGGCAGAAAAGATAGATCCATGAAGTGAATTGAAGTGATGTATAGTGATGTTTCATTTGCGGCAAGTACTATCAAGTACTACTCAAAAATATCTGGTTTACATCGCCAAATCTTGATGTTGCAACGTGCACCTTCGTCTCACCATGGAACAGGAGTTTGGCAATGGTCTCAGTGTTGTCCAGATTCCTGATACTCACAGTGCAAGAATCAAAGAACTAAGCCAGTGCAAAATCTGGAAGTCGGCCCTGGGTGAAAAAAAAAACATCAATTGAACAGTTGGGTACAGGTCAAGAATGTGAAACCCAAAATTGGATTGTTCAGTACCGAAAATTACCAGTGGATCTGTACTCCCGCCTTACCTCTTGACCCAACGCATACCCCCGGTTCTTGTCATCAGGCAACCCCAAGGCAACTTTGATGTCCGAGATACAGGAGGCTGGCATCAATTCCAGGAAGCTTGCTCCGGGCTGCCACCAGTTCACCATATTCTTTAACCAGTTGCCACAAACAAACATCCACCAAAGGAGCATCAGAAGCAAGGCTCACAGGCCGGCGCATCACCTGTCTCTCAGTCAGCCTCTTGGACGTCTGTGTCATCTTTCGGAGGTCCACTGTATACTGCCTGGCGACTGAAATCTGAAGCTCTTGAGCGGGTTGGGCGGTTGGGGATGGTCATCCCGTCATCCCATTTTGGGGGATGGAAAATGATGGAAGATTATGAAAGAATGACATCGACCAGCTGCTGTTTCAATTGGGCTGTTCCCAAGAATTCTGGGGACTCGCTGCACTGCATGTTGCGCCATTCGCTTTCCAAGGTGATCTGATCCTGTTCACAATACGGCTCTGCCACGCCATCATTGCTCACGAAATACCACACGTTGGAAAGCGTTGGAATCGCCGGGAATGTCCTGATCTGGCCACATGTGATGACTTCAACACTCACACCTCGATATTCAAGGATGCTGCGACTCATTAGTGCCACGTGCAAATCGTACTTGGAGTTCATGTGCAAACCATCCAGCGTGAGCTCCACACTTGGGCGGGCACAATCCTGAATTTTCCATTCAGAAGCTTCAAGGGTCAGCTTGGGCATTGGCGCACCAGCCATGGTGGCTGCGTACCAGATCTCCCCTTTGTTGTGAATCTCCAGTGTCTTCTGCAACGAAAAGCCGCGTTCTCGACTGAACGAAGCCTTCGCCTTCTCGCCGTTCTCGGGCTTCGTACCCCAGGCATCAATGCCTCAACTACAACATCTATAGTGTGCCATGTGAGACCCAAACGTTGCTGATATCATCTATCTCCCTTAAGTTTATCATCGAACATGTATTCCTAGATTCCTAGATGTGGCAAATGATAACAAAGAAACCGTGGAATGAAACACTCAAATGTTTGCAAAACACACCCGCGAGCAGGAGTAATTCATGATGAAAATACCTAGAAAACACAAAAGTTACACAAGTGCAAGCAGACCAGGCACACAAGTTTGGCAGATGCTAATTCAGAAACCCCAGCAGGTGTCTAGAAAACGGGTGCCTTTATGTTTGTGGCATCACCAACATGTCATACTCAGAACCGTCAAAGTAGCAATTACAGTATATACAGCACCAAAACAAAGCAGTACAGTAAATGTGCTCTGCTTGTGCTACTTTACTACATATGACCACAACACATCACAACACTTGACATTGATCCAATCCCAAATAAGGGAAAAGTTTTGTCGCCAAAAGAAAAACATAGGCTGAGTGGAAAAGGAGGACTCGACATGTCAATCAAAAATGGTGGAGATGAATGAAAACTGATCCTAGGATCAAATGTTAATGCCACCAAAACAAGAGAGCACGAGAAACCTCTGAAGCAAAAGTCCTAGAGACATGAACGAAAAAAGTGTTTATATTGACAATAAATGTATCCATAATCATGTGAAGAATTATATCAATAATGATATCATGAATAAGTGTATCAAAAAATATATCAATAATGACAATAATAACAATAATAAGGATAGTAACGATAATAACAATAACAAAAAGAATAAGAATAACAATAACAATAACAAAAAGAATAAGAATAACAATAACAGTAACAATAACAATAACAGCAAAATAATCACAACAATAAAAACAATAATAACAATAAAAACAATACAAACAATAATAACAATGATAATAGTAATAGGAAGAGGAATAGTAAGAGTAAGTGTAAAAGCAAGAGGGAGAGCAAGAGTTAACAGTAGCAACAATAACAAATGCAATAGTAATAATAGTAAAGAATAACAAAAAATAACAGTTATAACAGTTATAACAAAATAATAATAATAATACTGATGCTACTAGTAAAAACAAAAGTCGTAATAATTATATAATAATGGTAATAATAACATAAGAAAACGACTCTAAAGTCAGCAAGACATTTGCAACGACCAAACACAATGGGTGAAGAAACGGCGGCACCCCAACTGAAAAGTTTCTGAACATTGCCCAGCAGCAATCCGAACCATCAAGTCCATCAAGTCTCAGGATTTGGAGCGGACACCCAATCTTGGGAAGTTGCCGATGAAAATCACGAATCTCATCCCAATCACCACCTGCGCAGATTTGGACTTTGAGTGACAAATTCACCGAAAGTCGCACACGAATCTGGCCAATCGGCCCGTTGGAATCCTGGGCCTCATGGCTTTGCCTCCACCGGTCTTCTTCCGGCGCCAACTCTGGTGAAACCAAAAAACGCGGGTGGGAGGCAAAGCACAAATTCGACTCACTGTCACAAAGCACTGCATTCGGATTTCCTTCATCCGTTCCATGCTCTCCGGATTCAGCGAAAACATCACCAAACCACCAAACTGTTTCAAGGCCCTGGGTGCAAAAGTAGCTTGTTGGCCTGAGAATCCCATGCAAAAACCCACCATCTTGAGGAGCCTCTTCATAGAAACACTGGTTTGGATTCGAAGGATCGGGACAAATCCACAAATGTCCGAGCGCGTTGGACCATAGCCCACAGACAGAATGTGAACCCCATGCATCTGCCCCCTGTTTTTTGGCTTGAACTTGATCATATCTGGCAGGTTTGGGAGTTTCCAACTCATTCCAGAGCACCAGCAAAGTGCAATCAATGTGCAAACCCACCACATGGCCTAAATGCCCTTTGCGCAAAACAATCACCTCTTGTTCTTCCAAGTTTGACTCAACATACTCAATGTCTGCACTTGCCAAAACTTCTGTGCCCGGCGACCAAACTCTTCGCCTGTCATCGAGTGCAGCAGTTTCAAAGTCCTGCAATGCACTTAAAAAATGTTCGTTTGCATGTCCAATCTGAAACATGTTTGCCAAAATCCACTATTCCGATACTCTACTGTAAACATATTTCATGAATGTGCTGACAACTCCTCACACACAAAGAGTTCATCCGACGCTGAATCTGAATCAGGGATGGGTACATCATCCGCCCTTGCAAGCGCCATTTGAAAAAATGTGTTTTTCGCAATAAAATCACCGGAGTAGACAAAGATTCAAAAACGGTCTTCGAAATTTGAACGTTGTAATTGTAACGTCTGTTTTCAACCATTGCTGGTCGTGGTGTATCCAAACATTGTATGCACCATCATTTTGGACATGTATTTTGTGCTCTCTGAAATTGCCACACAGGCAACCTTTTGAGCCAATGCAATCAACGCAACAACGCACGGAGGTTGAACGCAATGCAAATTGTCACTGCGTCTGGCGAAAAAACATTCATATGTACAGTAATGTCTGAAGAAAATACGCCTGCGTCCATACCACATTGAAGATCGACAAAATTCAGATATATGTATAAAGATAAATAAAAAATAAATCGGTGTATAAATAGATAAATAGACTAATTTATGAATACATAAATAAATATATATATATGTATATATATATATGTATATATATATATGTATATATATATAAAATATATATATATATATAAAAATGCAAAAATATATAAATAGATAAATATATGAATATATAATTTAAAAAAAATATAAAAATATACAAATGTATATAAATATAAAAATATAAAAATATATCAGCAGGCAAATTGTTCTGCTGAAATCAAATCAAACCCAACCTCGATTCATGCAAAAATCCACTTGACTGAAGACGTTTTCGTCCTGTGAAACATGCCCGAAAAAAATGTAGAGTATGGAGCTATGTCAGACATTGCACCAAAAGAAGAACATGTTGCGACGTGTTGGGATTCTTATATCCATATATGCATGTATCCCCCACAGCGCGTTGCCGTTGCAGCAACCAAAAACGACTTGGGACACAACGTCATACAATTTGCAAACGCCAACAGAACCAGAAGTGCACGCATGCTATAAATAAACATGATGTGGAGAAAATTCCTTAATGTCAGACATTGTTACTTTTTGAGAAGTAGACAAGCAAACGGTGAAAATAAAGAAGGAAATTTTGGGCATATTGTTGATTTCGATGGAGCCAAAGTTAAAACAGGATGTTCTTGCTCCGCCGCAAAAATCAAACATTCATGAATATAGTCATGTACTGGCCACAGTTATATATTTCTATCTTGAGGCGCAGATACACACAGTCAGATTGCACACAAAATGCTGGTTCAGACCCATGCTATGCAAGTGTCAGGTGTTTGATTGAGATTAAATCAGGAAACCGTAGGAATCATGGCCAAGAGTGACAAGTCCCGGATATAAATTGTGTTTGCAGTCATTGGTTTTATTGGAAAGAAATTTGTGGTTTAAGAGTAAACACTGTTCACTATCAGGTTTGAGATTTCACAATCATGCGCATCCAAGTCTGAAAAAATTAGAATGATGACGACAAGGGCAAATATGGTTATGGTCCGCAATGGTTTTGATCAGGGTGAAATTAAAGAACATTGATAAAGATGAGACGGCGGAAACTCACGGCAACAATGAATATGACCACGGTGATAACGGTTGCAGCGGTGATGGGTGATGGGAGAGCTTCGCATTGCAGGGTATGGTCGATGATGTTCGATGATATTTTTGATGCTATTGAGTGGCGCCGACCGCCATGTATATAGACCTCCCATCACCCATCCTTGCAAATTATAATGGATTGGAATCCCGTGTATCAATTTTCAGAGCACTTTTCACAACCGTGTGTTTTTTTGTTTGGTTATTTGATTGCATCTCTGCATTTTCTTTGATGATTTCCGGCATTTTGACCATGGAAAATCTTATTAGCCCAATTGCCTTAAGGTGAGCTAATAATACCTTCTGGTGTCACCCAAGGGGGTGTCCTCTGAAAAATGAGAACACAGCTAATGAACTTAGAATCCAAATAGGGAACCAGATGCAGAAGCAACGGCATCTGGAAAATAGAAAATAAGCAATAGGGAAAACACAAGAAAGTGCAATCAGAAATGACATGCACGCACTGCATGAAATACGTTCATAAGACAGTGTGCGAATAAATTTCCAAACGCGATATGAAAAAGTAGTGTTGTTACTGTGCAAACAAGGAAGTAAAACCGATCTATAGTTGAAACACATACTATGATTAAAAAACAATTTCCAACCAAACAAATGGTTTGCTTTGAAATTGTTGTTTTCACATTATGTTATTGCGAAATGCAAGCATTACCCACTGTCGTCTCGAGAATAAATCCTTGTGGTAATAAACAAATAAAATCTACAGGGGCCCAAACTATTCTCTAACTTGCTGACACCATGCAACGTCCCAAACATTCAAAAATAAAATCCCAGGGTTCGACAAGGACCCTCGATCCTAAAGATGACCAAAGTGTTGGCTCTTCAAAATATTGAACATGAGGAACTCACGTCCCTATAAATTATATTTAATTTCAGGACCCAACGAATATCCTACTAGTCATCCGACAATTTGTACTAGGTCTGCGGCGTGTCCGGCGAAAACGCATTGAATTTCAAATCAGAACAAACTCACCAAAGAACCTAGATGTATTTGTATGTATGTTTCACTCCATCATTGTTGCAATCGCAGGAACACCTTTTCTATGTTTTGAAACATTTACTTGGTGCTTATGGACAAGTTCATTTAATGCTTTTCGGCTGACGTCTACTGAACAATATTTCATTGATTTGCCAACTACGACATTGACAATTGCTAAGCCACGTTGCACAAATTTTGTTATTTTAATCGGTACGAGATTATTGGCGATTTTGTCGGTAATTCCCTTGTTCGTCATTGGCATTGTCATTTCATGCGGTACTGCAATAAGGTCGGTATACAAAAAGGACGGAAAATCTTAGAATTCCTTTCTGTCCAATGGTTTTACTGCAACTTGCTGTGCAATGTGTTTCGTTTCTTCTGAAATCAGTTGTTTCCTTTGTTTGCCTAAAATTGGAGGCCTGGCCGGGGCCCAAATAATCAGGGCCTTATGGTCTTGGTCGATCCTGCCAAAAAAGTGGCTGAACAGTGAGAACCTCCATTTCTCAAAGAGCAAACAGTGCATCCATTTATACAAATATTTTTGCAAGGAATGGAATATGCGCATCTGCTTCTTGCTTGATGCATGCTGAAGATAAACAAGTAGACAGGTTTTGTTCTGAAGGGGCGAGCACCTCGCACCAGTGCCTTCTAGGACTTAAACAGGAATCTCTCATATGATGAGTTTCGGGCGTGTATGCCAAGAATTTTTTAACTTTTGATGGTTTGGGCCGTACCTGACGTTGCGGTACTCTTTGACCTGAAAGTTTATCATTACAAGCTAGTATGTGAGTAATATGGGCAGCAGGAGGGAATATAATCGGAAACACACAATTTCCTTTTTTTTTGAATCACATTCCTGGAACCGTGTTGTCCCATGCCCTCGCTTTCCGCGAAATCCCCTCGATGGATTTAGTACGCGTAACTCTCTTCATGCGTCATCATGCCAGAAGTAAAGATCATACACCGGTTTTTTCTATGTTATGTTGGCACTGAGGAGGTGCACACATTAGTCTCCAGAATCACAATATTTTCTGAGGCTCTCAAAACACGGCGGCCCACTTCTAAAACACTCTCAGTTGTTTCCTCTCGCGTTGCTTGAGCCACCATCCAGTGGCGTGTCATCCTTGCGCAGTGGTCTTTGTAGACCTGTGACATGCATCAACTGTCACACTGATAAGAACAGATACTACACATCCAACTGAGCATGACATGACATGGGTGAGTGCAGTGGATATATCTTTACACCCCACCTTGCCAAAAGTTCTTGCATTTTGCAAGTTTTGGCACATAACTGCACCTCACCTTACATTTGTAAATTCTACAGTTCCCAAGGTTGTTGTTAGCGGAAAAACTGTTCCACACGCAATTGCCTCTCTCACGTTCATATGCACTGATTGCGTCACCACTTTGCTTTCACCACAGCTGCCGCATGCGCTGATTGCTATCCTCAAATTGAAGACTCCATTGCTTCCATATCATCGATCTGACGTCGAACTTCTTCTGCGGCTTCGTGGTCGCCCAACTCTTCATAGCGCGTAGCGCGCGACTGCAAGACACGAATCCCACGACGTAGGCTAGCTCTCGCTTCTGCCATAGCTTGCTCGATCTTGTCATTCTCCTCCTCTGTGGTGTTCTGAGTAGTTCTACTGTTCAGAGTAGTGTTCTCACTGCTTCTTCCAAGCGTATTGTTGTTGCTGCTCCCAGGTTCTGGTTCTTGTCCATCTCTGTCTCCATGTTCACGTTCATCTGGTCCAGCTGGTCTTTCGACCACCAATTCTCGTCCATGTGCATCTGCTATTGTCTGAGCTACTTGAATTGCTTCTGACCTTGGTAAGTTCATTGTCATCCTGAGCTCAAATTCGCGGGCTGGTGATTCCCGAACATTTTCATCTCCACTTCTGTTCGCTATTGAGCTCCTCGAAGATACTGCGTCTTCGTCTCCTCCGCGATCACTTTCTCCCGGAGGTGTATCCCATCGATGTTTCAAAAGCTCCACGATTGGAACAAAGAAAGCTCCATCACTCGCATCTGCTTTTCGCTGCAAATCATCACGAAACTCTTCCCATAACCAAGCCTCGGCGTGAAGGAGGTTAACATGAGGAAGATCCATGCACATTCGCATATTTCTCACCTGAGCCATAATCTCCTCGGGGTCGTTCACCTCAACCGCTGTAATGAAGTGTTCCACAGCCTCTTTCTTATCGTTCTTCATAAGCAAAGCTGCAAGCCGTAGGTGGTTAAACATGTTCTCAATTGAGAACTGATCATGCTGTCCATCAATCCAGTATGCTTTGGCTGACAAGACAAATGTCGTAGCCAAGAAATTTCTCATCTCACTTGTCCACTGTTGAACATTCGCATATTCTGGTTGCGGATCATCGCGGCTTCGTGATCTTGAAGCTGCACCAGGAACCATCATCACCAACAGGCCCATCATGAGCATCAGCACTTCGCCAAGCACTATGCCGCTGCGAAGATCTGCCATAGAGGTCGCTGTAGGAGAAGTACTTGGTTGGCCTGACAGGAAGGAAGATGGAGAAGAGCATCCCTGCAAAAGTGATGCTGCTGCTGCGTGAAATGCTGTCATCAATATCATTTGAACTCTTCTTGTCTGCAGAATTTCTGTTCGTCTTGACGTTTCATCTTCACCAGTGAAAATACCAATAAGTCGCCCGAGATCTTTTCTACGTTCTAATCCCAGAATCCCAGCTTTTTCGTTCCCAGATCTGCCGGATTCATCTTTGTGCTGATCTTGTGCAAACTGAAAACTTTCATTCGCAAGAGATCTTGAAGAAATAGATGACGGATTTGAAGGTGTTTCATTCGACCAAATCCTGCTCTTTGAATTGTACCCATCGCTGCTGATGAGTCAATATGCAGTTTCACTTTCACTTCACCACTGCTTTCATCCTTTTGATCACCGCAAAGAAACTTGCACACTCGAACTAGAAACAAACCTTCTGCTATTGCTGCATTTGCTGCATACAGTTCTGCCTCACATGAGCTGAGTGCTACTGTTGTTTGTGTTCTGCTGAAACTTGAAATATACGCACCATTCACAAACATGACACATGAACTTGTTGATCTTCTGGTAGATCGATCATCTCCCCATGACGAATCTGAGAATATGTCAAAGTTGAAAACCGCTCTGTCCTTTCTCTGTTCTCTTGTCACGTCGCTCCATTCATCTGCTTCAATCCATCGGTCAAACACATCCTCATAGGTTTCACGTTTTCTCAACATCACACCAACATGCTCTGTTCCTGACAAGTACAGGGCCAAATGCTTGAGAGCTGCCATCGCTTTCATACAAGGATAGGACATCCATGTAGCCAGCGTCTTTGTCGCAAACGAAATATCTGGCCTGTCATGAGAAACATAGAGAATCAAACCTAAGGACCTAATGCTGAACGAAACAACGACGCTTCTTCACCTGTGAGCACATCTTGCTCTGGAAACTCTGAATTGTAATGTTTCGAGAATCGCATGATGTGGAAGACCCTTCTTTCTTCTGCCAGAAATCTTCAACATGTTGATGAGCTTGGGAATATAGGTACCATTGGGCTGCACCAAAATTCCCTCAGGCAAAAGTGTAATACGCTTCTTGAGGTAAAACATCGTGTCACCTGAACCTTGTGCATGGGGACCATCAACTTTGATTGTGAGACCGGAAGCAACTTCCTTCTTGAACCATTCTAAATCCTCTTCACTTCCAACCAACAGCACATCATCCACATGTACTGACAAATACACTCGTCTCTCACTGTTCACCAACTTCATGATTGTGGGACATCCGTTGTAAGATTCCATTCCAGCACTTTGACACAAATTGGAGAAATATTCAAACCATCGCAAAGCTGCATTTCGTTGTCCTGGTAAACAACGCTGCAATCTCCAAACTGTAGACTTGTCTTCTGGAGATAGATCTCTAATCCATGGAGGGATTACCACAAACATCTCTTCTTGCTGTTCAACACACAAGAAAGCATCTTTCACGTCAATTCCAGTGAGCATCAAATTGAAAACCATGCTGAGGACTAGGAGAATACGAACTGCACCAAAGGTTGTGGTCGGTGCAAAGCTGTTCTCGTCTGTGCTGTCGGACTTGAACTCTCTTGCTACTATTCTGCATCTTCTGCGCCACTTGTTCTCTCTGTAGCGCCAATCACTTGCAATAGTGGTGTCAACGAGCTTGTGGCTCGGGATTGTTCTCACATCAATCTCTTCTGGTGCAATCACGTGCATCTCATACAACTTGGCAACCTCATCTAAAGCTGCTTGTGCATCTAACTCCGCAAGCTTTTCAGGAGAAACCGTAGGTGGGCCGTCTTCTTCAAGACGTTTGTTGATACCTTCGTCCTCTGAGTCTAAGTCCTCATAAGGAAGAAATTCCCAGTCATCTTCCAAATCAATCACATCATTGTGTGTGATATCCACTTCGCCAACACGTCTAACGTCCATCTTTGCCGCTTTGACTTTTGGCTCTGGAACTGGGTCGCTATCAAACTTCAAAGCTTTTGCTACTCTGCCACCTTGAGTCTCTGCCTTGTGTTTGGATGCTGCATGACCTGATGAGTCTACATCCATTGTAGGGCTTGAAGGACTAGCCCCACCTGCGCCAGACATCAACATCTCTTCTGGCGTTTGTGGTGCTTCCATTCCGGGATCAACCGGTACTGCACATAGAGGAGGAAGAGAAGGAACAGGAACTCGACCATCATCTCGTTCTGTGACATCTTCAAGTCGAGGACCTTCTCCATCGGGTGTTGTGGGCTCATATGCATTGGATTGAACTTCTTGTTGAGCTTGTTCACGTTCGTCATCTGAGTCTTGAAGTCCTTTGACTGCTTCTGCTTCTTCATCAAAGAATGGTCTCGGTGGTAAAGCCAAAACTGGTTTCTGCTTCACCTTTGACTGCGTGTAGCCCGTGGTGTCCCACGGTCCAATCACCAAACTCAAAATCTCATCTGCAGACCATGTAAGCGCTGTTCTTCGGATTGACCTTGTCCTTGTGATCGTGCCAGCTGCTGTAGCCAGAACATCATGATCAGAACCACCTTTTCCTAACCAGATCCCTTTCTTCCAGGTAGGTCGATACTTGGATCCTTTCGGGTCAAGTCCATATGTCACCTGTCCAAAACAAGCGATTCTGTTGTGATACGGTCGCCCATTCACAGCTTGGTATGGTGTGATCTTTGTGGTACTGTGAGTATGATATCTGTTGTAGAGCCAAGTGGAATGCATTGCCGCCCAGTAAAGAACTGCGTGTCCTTGCGGAATCTTACACTTGATTGATTCCTCCAGTTGCATTACCAGTGTCTTCTGCAAATTGCGGACAGTCTGAATTGTTCGTTCACAAATGCTAGTGCGATCCTTTCTGTAGTTGCGATTGGTCGTGACCGTCGTGCTAAAGCCTTGACGAGCTCTAACCTGCTTGAAAAATTCCATGCCACTGACCAAAACATTCTCATTGTCTCCACAAACTTCAACCGCACCAACATAACCCAGACTTCCAACAAATTTTGAAATTGCACTTCCAACCGTCTTGGCGTCCTTGGGTTTGATAGGTTCTGCATGTGCATATCTTGTCCATGAATCCACCATAAGCAAAATAGGCTTGACCCAAGAGAACCCTCTGACTTGTCACGATTTTCACAAAAGTAAAAATCAACTTGGATTGTGGGTCGATCTCGTTCTGCTGCAAGATCAGGGTCAGCATGACTTGCATGATGGTCACCTCGAGCACGAGTTGAGACACAAAACGGACACCAATCCCTGTAGGGTAGGTGAGTCAATTCATGGAGACAACGTTCACGCTGAGTTGGTTGACGAGCTGCTAGGTGTGCTGGTTGTGCAGGATGTTCTTCTCGTTGATATTCTGCTCTTGCCATGTCAATTGCTGCACGTCTCATACCTTGAACATAGCTCTTCTTGATACGTTCGAACATTTTGCCTTTTGATCCAGCTTGTGAAATTCCCAGCAAACGACAACCTGCGCGTAAATCTCTGACTGGAGACTCACATGTCAAAATCAAACCATCGTCCAATTCCACAGATTCAATCTCAGGAAAAGCTACATCTGCTAAAGCTGCTGCAGGTTCTTCTCCACCAAGAGGATCTTGTAGAAAAAGACCTGGAGGCTCACGCACTTGAATAGCCTCGCTTGAAACTGCACCCTGAGAAACATCTTGACGTTGTTCAACTGGAACTGCTGGTTGGTGTTCCTGGGGTTGTGAGTCAGGAAGTCGAAGTGGTCCATCCACCTCTTCATCTTCATCTAGTAAATCTCCAAACTCTTCAAATCCATGTTCTTCAACTCCAAGAATTGTGAGAATCTCGCACTCGCCGTCCATGTTGAATATGCACTCATCAATCAATCCAAATGGTTCATCCTTGTCCATGAAACGTTGGGTCATCTCCACCAATGTCCAACTGTCGGTGGTGTTTGTCCTTCTGACTAGAGTTGTTCTGAAAGGCCAATAGTGCCCCCAAGTCGGTCGGGGATCCAAATAGCTGTTCCCCACATTCTTGATGTAGGGTGTTCCAGACTCTGTCATCTGCCACGTGTTGAAATCACAGAGCTCCATTTCCTCAAACACTTGAACTATAGTACGCACATGAAAGGAAGAAACATCTGAGTCATCATCATCTTCTCGTTCTTCAACATGACGCACACATGCTCTAATTGCAAAAGATTTGTTCTTGAAGTACACAGGCACTTTGATTTGATCTTGCGGATCTATCAGGAAAAGTTCATTGCTGCCTTCACCATCAATTTTCCAGCCTGCTTGGTACAACGGCCCCAGCGAAACCAAACCTGTAGTCACATCGCCAACAATAAACTCATGACGCAAAAGAACTTCTTCACCTTCAACGTCACGCACTTGAAGGTCTGTGTATCTAGTGCCACGTGTCTTGAGTTTTCCACCTTGACAGTTTCGCAAACTGGTACCTGCAGTTGTATTACCATCCACTGAAAACCTTGCAGGAAGCAAACTCACATCTGAACCGCTGTCCAAAATAATCCATTCCTCACCGGTCACCTTTCTCACATGCATATCTTCATCTGAGCTATCCAGAAATTCAACCATTCTCACATGCCTACTTGAAGCTGGTGATGTAGGAGAAGAAGGATAGGAGGAGGGAGGAGTGATGTGAAAAATTCTGCGCACTGTTCCTGTTCTCGGTTGCACTGGAGACTGTTCACCTTGACCTTGTCGATACGCTGAAGACGACGAAGCTCCATTGTTGTTGACTGGAGAGCCAGTGTAGCTAGTATCTTGCTGCACGTTGTTCACATCCATGCGTTGTGGGCACTCTCCACTCCAGTAACCATAGCCAAAACAGATTTTGCATTGATTGTGACCTGCTGCTTTACCTTTCTGACCATCTTTGCTCTTTCCTTTCTTGCCCTTTGACTTTCCTCCTTTGTTGTTGCCTCTTCCACGTCCTTTCTTGCCTTTGCCTTTTGCTTTTCCTCCACTTCTACCACCAAAACCACGACCTGCACCCCAAGGTATGTTCCAACTACCTTTTCCTTTGCCTTTCTTCCCCTTGCCCTTGGACTTGCCTTCAACTCTATCTACCTCCATTGGCGTGGGTCCATCGGCAACGCCCTTGTTGGCATCATGGATAGACTTCAACACTGTCTCATGGCTCCAACTCTTCGACACACGCTCGAAGTTGAGGATCTGCTCTCTGACCTGGTTGTAGGTCGCCTTGTCGTCCAAGGTGAGCTGAAGATGCTCTTTGAGTTTTGCAGGGGAACATCGAAGTAGAGTGGCTATTTTGAGTTCATCGGGGTACTTGGTGTTGGAGGACTCTTCAAACCTTTGAATTGTCTCCTCAAAGATCAATATGGAATCCATACAGGATCGGTCTTTGGGAAATGTTGGGTATGACGCCAAAGCCTGTGCTAGCGCCAAACTTCTCTGTCTTGAGCTAGGCTCAAATTCTCTCATCAAACAGCTAAACCATCTCTGGTCTTTGAGTGCGCCTTGGCCAAATGAGCGCATCGGCCACGCAAATAACTTGTCAAAACAGCGTACAAATTGTGAGCCATCTCTTTCTCACCTTCATTGTAGTTTGCCATTGTTGGCATTGAATCCCTGGCCTCTATAGCTTCCAGAATTTGAATAAACCTTGAATCACCATATGTCAACCATGACATAAACTGGAAACGCCATGATGCAAAACCCATTGCATCTTCTCCACTGTATGTGTCGGGATTCTTGAGCACCTTTGATGCTGCCTGAAGTCCATCTGAAACTGCACTTGAACTTGCTTTGGCTACAGTTGCTGCTGTCTGCACTGTTTGGGTTGTTGCTCTCTCAGCTGCTACAGCTGCTCGTGTGGCAGCTTCAGCTAATGCCACGACTCTTTCCAGCATTGCTTGTTGTTGCTCCATTGCATGAACATGTCCAATACTGCAAAGAAAAATCACAGCCATCAACTATCAACTTTCTTATTCCAAACAACCAGAAAACCGTTGACCCAAACATCCCGCACCACCAAACAAGTTCTTGCGTCGCCAAACAAACACAGGGGGCCCTAAACGTTTGCGATCAAACGAAGACCTTGCGCCGCAACAACAAACAGGGGCCCTACAAAATTTGCGCCAAACGTAAACAGAAAGGCAACCTCGGAAAAACAAATACTCGATCTTCAACAGAACCGAGCCGTACATGTGCAACAGAAAAGGTAGCTGGCACTCACTCTTTTTCTAGCACAGTGGAGAGATCACTCAGGCCTCGTTAAGGGGCCTCTAAACACACGTGCGTGAGACAAAAATTCCGGATATTCAATCCGATCAAAAACGCACATAGAGATAGGGGGGGCGGGGGGCACAAAAAACGAATCACGTAAGAAACGTTGAACCCTCCCACCCTCCCTTTGGAGGTATTGAACTTGAAATGGCCACCATTGGCAATTTGTTCAATTTACACCTATGTGTAAAATGTTCAGCAGATGTTTACAGAGAACAACAAGCTGAAAAACTAAAAACTGAGTTGGGGAAAAACTGTTCACAGAAGAGTTACCAACTTAAAATAGCAAGTTGATTGCTGAGAACGTTTGCATTCAAACGCACAACAAGTAACCACTCAGTGAACACCCAACTCAGAAGTTTCCTCAGGTTAGAAGTTTCCAACGCGCGCTCGCGAAAGGGAAAGAGGAAACGCAAGGTGCACACGCAAGAGAGGAAGGGAACGGGAAGAAGGAGGGTCAACTAGAAGCTGCTTTCAGCTCCTTTTTCTTTACGCAAGGAATAAGGTTACATCAGCGAGCTGAGTCGCAACTTATTCCAAACAACCAGAAAACCGTTGACCCAAACATCCCGCACCACCAAACAAGTTCTTGCGTCGCCAAACAAACACAGGGGGCCCTAAACGTTTGCGATCAAACGAAGACCTTGCGCCGCAACAACAAACAGGGGCCCTACAAAATTTGCGCCAAACGTAAACAGAAAGGCAACCTCGGAAAAACAAATACTCGATCTTCAACAGAACCGAGCCGTACATGTGCAACAGAAAAGGTAGCTGGCACTCACTCTTTTTCTAGCACAGTGGAGAGATCACTCAGGCCTCGTTAAGCCACGGTCCCCACCCATGCTTGTGTGGCTTTCCACATACTTCAAGCTTTCGTTGAAGACGAGTGCAACTTCCCCTTCGGGAATGCGTTTTGAATCTAGTAGCAATCGGTGTCGGATCTGTCTAGAAGGATAATCTGATAAATTTGATGCCGAAGGAACACGGCTGTACCAAGGGAGGACATAGAAATCGTCCAACTGCTGTGCCACCAGCTGACAAATCATAGAAATTGCAAATGAGTCGGAGTAACCCCGAATCAAGGCAAACTTTGCGCCCTCATTATCTATGTAAATCATAACCTGGGAGGATGTGACAAGTTTCGCCCACAGTTTCAGGGCAATGGCAACTACAAGCGTTTCAAACTCTCCAATAAGGTTCTTGCGTCCCTGCTCAAACCAAGTTGTAAAACGTTCGACTCCCACATGAAGTCCAAACCAAGAAATTATGTCACCATTTTGAGTCGCAAGGAAGGCACCGAAGCCTCCACCGTCCTTCATGCTGAAGCTGGCATCTGTGAAAATGAAGAACGTTTCCAACATCTGGCATGTGAGTACTCTAGGCGATCCAGAAAGTAGCCTACGTCTCAAAAGCTCAAGGGAATCTACCAATCTTTCAGAAAGGCTGATCACAAATGGATTGGCATACGCATGCTTTGTAATATCCTGCAGTGCCAACTTACCAATTCGGCCAAAAATAAAAGAATCACAAAATGCCAGTTTGCCACGCAAGGTCAATGCATCTTTCTTTGCTAACTTTCCATCACACAAAACTGCTTCCAGCAACAGAGTAGTGTCTTCGATTCGCTTGGCTGTATTGCGAACTTTGAGAATCCCCTTAGGCGAGTCCTCCAAGTCAAACTGTACCCCAAGGGCCGATACAACTCCAGAGAATGCATCGCTCTTTGGGCCCTCACGGTCAAACTGCCACCCAAGGATGTCAAGCATCAAGCACAAGGTAGCCTGACTATTGTTGCACAAATTAGGCATTGAGAAAGCAACAAAGTCGTCGAAGTAACAAGTCAAGGGCAGGATAAAAACCCTGGCAGCAATCCACTGTAGAAATCTGGCGCACCTTATAAATGCGTTTACCGCAGATCTCGACCCAAAAGGCAACGCAACTTGTTGAAACAACTTTGCGGAACCACTGGACGGGTCATATACGGAAAGGTAGGAATGCTGCAAAGCCTCATCAGCAATTGCAAGCTGCCGGTATGCCGATGCAAGGTCCAATGACCTACCTCTCAGGCAAGTATCCAAGCCCTTCGCTTCCAAGCATCGCATCAGATAGGTGGCATAACTGCAGATGACATCAGGCCCATCAACCGTTGCTTGCTCAAATGTATTCACCGTGGAGTTGACCTGGCTTTGACTTAGGTCATCAATAGGTCTCACCTTCCCCGATTGGGATAGGGGGAACCTACGAGACACTGCTGCACCTGGGGGCAATTCGTCCCATGGTAAAGGACCTCGCATCCATCCTTTGTCCACTTCCGCAAGAGCTTTTGTCCACAAACCCTCGTCCAGCTCATCATCATCGCTACCCCGTGTCATATACCTCAGAGCTTTGCTGGCTTTGTCTGAATGCCTATGCAAGTCCTCCTTCGAAATAGTAGCGGGAACCAGCTTGGCAGGAAGCACTGAGGACACTGGACTATCGCCAACCAAGCTGAAGCCATGCTCGATGTCATCTGCAAGGGTGCGGTCATCATATCCCTCTTGCTTGATCAGGTGCTTCATCAAGGCTACGCGTTTCTTTTCCAAAATGTGCCTCCTGTCTGAAGGCATCTTGTTTTTGATTTCCGCCTCCTCGGCTTGGAGGGATTTCGCCAACCGCAACCATTCACCAAGCTTTTCACACCTCCAGTTGACAATATCCTCATGCTTCCAGCTTGCTAGCTTTTCGCAAGCCAATTTGACCTCCGGCAGAAGACCTGAAAACTCTTTGAAAGGATGCCCTACCATCACAGCTCTCTCTAAAAAATTCTCAGGGGACCAACGCAC